CAGCTGCCCCCCAATCTCCCGCCCGGCAGCGTCCCCTCAGCCCCGGTTCGAGTCCCAATCCCCTTCCCTCCCCTCCCCCACGCAACCGTTCCCGGCGTCCCACCGCGCCGCACCCTCCGCCGCCTCCGCCCCGGCTCCCGGGACTTCCCCGGCCCCGGGCGCCTGTTGACCCTCACCTGCCATGTCCCGGACCCCACCACAGAGGGAGGTGCATCACGGCCGCGAGAAGGCCAGGGACGGCACTCGAGAGCAGACAAAGGGCGCCGCCATATTAGAGTCGGGCGGAACCGACCTCGCTGGCTTCCCGGCTGCAACTTCCGGCGCATGCGCAGCTTCCGCGCTCGATGCGCGACCGCGGACGGGCGCATGCGCCTAGCTGTCCAAAGGTTACACCTTGGAGTACTTCTGCGCTGAGAAGTGTTCTCATTGTTACTTACCCTACCTTGGTTTCTGTTCCGGGTAGGACAGTAACCGCTTCGTTCGGCGCTTATTGTGTTCCAGGTACCGTGCTGAGCGTTGTACGTGCATTATCTCATGGACTCCTCACACCAATCATAAAAGACGATTATTCTCCCTATCTTGAAGAAGGGAAGACAGGTTCGAAAAGGGCGAATGAATTGCCCGTAGTCACACATCTTGTAAGCGATGGAGCAGAGTTATGAATCTAGTTGTGACTCCAAAGCTGGAAATCCCGATTATGTTCTTCTACTTTATTTTTTTATTATTATCATTTTTTCTCTTTGAGTCGGAGTCTCACTGTCGCCCAGGCTCACAGCCACCGCAGCCTCGACCTGCTGGGCTCAGGTCATCCTCCCGCCTCAGCCTGCCAAGTAGCTGGATCTACAGGTGCGTACCACCATGCCTGGCTCCTTTTTTGATTTATTGTAGGTCTCGCCAAGTTGCCCATGGGCTCAGGCAGTCCTTTCACCTCGGCCTCCCAAAGTGCTGGGATTATAGGCGTGAGCCGCAGTACCCGGCTTTTTTTTTTTTTAAGATGGGGGGTACAAAGCAGGATTAGGTATCCAGGTGGACATCATACAGGTAAAATGTGGGCCTTCCTTTGTTCCTCACTTTGCCTAGTTTGAGATCAGGTACCCTTATTGATATTGTGTCTCCACCTCCATCCAGGCAGTATCCTGCTACTGCCAATCTTTTTTTTTTTTTTGAGTTGGAGTCTCACTCTGTCGCTCAGACTGGAGTGCAGTGGCTGCTCCCGGCCACCGCAGCCTCGCCTGCTGGGCTTCAGCGATCCTTCCGCCTCAGCCTTCCGAGTAGCTGGAACTACAGGAGCGTGCTACCACGCCCGGCTAATTTTTTTTTATTTATTGTAGAGATGAGGTCTCCCCAAGTTGCCCAGGCTGGTCTCGAACCCATGAGCTCAGGCAGTCCTCTCAGCTCAGCCTCCCAAAGTGCTAGGATTATAGGCATGAACCACCACACCCGGCCCTACTCCCTTGTGTTTTTGCCACATGGATTTGGTAAGAATTCCAACTCTGAGTGAATCCAGTTGCCCATTTTCTTTTTGCCTGCACCCAAACAGCCAGGCACTGCTGGAGAAAGTACCCAGCGCGAAGACTGTTTCCTACTAATGGATGACCACTAGTCTTCAGTGGGACTACAATAAATGCTGGTCTGGCAACTCACTCCCCCTCCTCTCTTCACAATATTTAGAGAAACTAAAAACTCAGCAGTTGACTTCAACCTCCCTCTACCTTTTTTTTTTTTTTTTTTTTTTTTTAGGCAAGAGTTTACTATTTTGTCCAGGCTGGCCTCAAACCCCTGGGCTCAAGTGATCCTCTCACCTTAGCCTCCTTGGCAGCTGGGCTTTTACAGGGGTGCACCATTGCAGCCAAACTGATTTTACCCCTTCTTTCAAAAAAATTGTTTTGATTGCAGTAAGACATAATGAGTCCTACCATCGAAAAAAGTTTCATGTGTACAATGCAGTATTGTCAACCATAGGAACAGGCTGGGTGTGGTGGTGCACCTGTAATCCTAGCTACTTGAGAGACTGAGGCAGGAAGATCACTTGAAAATAGGAGTTTGAGGCTGCAGTGAGTTATAATCACACCACAGCATTCCAGTCTGGGCAATGTCTCACCGCAGCCTCGACCTCCTGGGCTCAGGAGATTCTTCTGCCCCTAGCCTCCGAGTAGCTGAGACTACAGGCATGCAACACCACGCCCAGCTTTCTTTTTCTTTTTCTTTTCTTTCTTTTTTTTTTTTAACTTTTTGTAGAGATGAGGTCTTGCTGTGTTATTCAGGCTGGCCTCAAACTCCTGGGCTCAAGCAGTCCTCCTTCCACAGCCCCCCAAAGTGCTGGGATTAGAGGTGTGAGCCACCACACTCAGCCAAGATTTTGTTTTTTATAAAGGATTAGTGGCCATTCCACAGGCTGGGAAACAGCTTCCAGCAAAGACCAGAGATAGGCACTTCTAAGGAAGAGGCATTGGACAGAAATTTAAGATGAAAAAATAGGCTAAATATACAGATTTAACAGGTTACAGAAGGAGCTATGAATATTCATAGAGTTTGTCCTGAAACATGTGTCCTGAAATATGTGTATTAGCTGGGCTCGGTGGCTCAGCCTGTAATCCCAGCACTTTGGGAGGCCAAGGCGAGTGGAGTACCCGAGCCTGCAGGTTCAAGACCCACCCAGGCAACTTGGTGAGACCTCATCTCTACAGTAAATAAAAAATTAGTCAGGCGTGGTAGCGCGCACCTGTAGTTCCAGCTACTTGGAAGGCTGAGGCGGAAGGATCACGGGAGCCCAGCAGGTCGAGGCTGCAGTGGCTGGGAGCGTGCCGCTGCACTCCAGTCTGGGCAACAGAGTGAGACTCCAACTCAGAAAAAAAAGAAACGTGTATTGAACAAACATGCTTGCAACATAAGACCCATGTTCACTTTGGGATGGAGACTTAATATTTCAATGTATTATGGGCAGCCCCTTTGGGTCCCCTCCCACTGTGGGAGCATTTCTGTCCTCTCAATAAATCCTGCTTTGGGCCGGGCTCGGTGGCTCAGCCTGTAATCCCAGCACTTTGGGAGGTCGAGGTGAGT